ATCGTATCAAGAGACTCGCAGAACAGGGACAAGGATCTAGTTTAATATTTACCACTCGGTGATAACATTTTAAAAGTGTCCTTTTATGGATTTGATTTACTCATCTGCCTGTAAGGAAGGCTGGACACAACTTTCCCACTGAAAAAAATTCTTTTCATTTTGAGTGCAATCTAAAGGTATTCTAGAGTACTCCTCTTTGCTCATTAGGTCAGGGATTAAACTTGTCACCTCCAACAGTCCTATGTAAGAGGAGCATGCCTCAGTTTTCCTGCCCCCTATGCTGTATGTCTGAGAACAGAATTCCTCTGAAATTTTACTGGTTAAGACTCCTTTAACACGACATATGAACATTACCTCCGTTTCATTGCAGCAGAAGATATCAGACTGGGTATAAAATTGTGGATCTAGGTCAGCAAGGGCTGGAGCTGGATTAAATAAAGTCTTTACTGAAAAAAAAGAATAAGAAAAAGAAAATCTAAATCTCTTGTGGTTTAGATTCATAAAGTATCACCTGAAACACCACTGTAGTTAATTCACAAGCCCTGAAGTTTATTATCAACATACAAATGGCCCTTAGTTTCTGTGTCCTGATTTTATAGAACTACTAAGATTAGTTTATAGTATTAAGGTTCCCTTCCAATACTTGTGCAGGCACCTGTCATGAAGGGAACATGATACAAGAGCAACAGAAAAAGTAACCAAGGAATTATTAAATACATTTTTAAAAGGCAAAAAAGCCTTAGACAGTAATGCGATTTGTTTAACTGGTGATGCTTCTTCCAGGAGTTTAGTAAGCTTTACAAGAACTGATTTAGTTCTAAAATTTTTTTTTGCTGTTGTTATCTGTGTCCTGTACATGAAGAAAGAGAGGTATGGAGTAATGGAGGGCATGTCCAGACAAGGAGTTAAACGCGCTTCTGAATGTGTTACCTAACTTGTTCAAACTGCCACATTATAAAACTGTAGCGTAGACAAGGCACTGTGTATTTTTAATGTGCTATCTGGCAGAGCTAGACCTAAACTTAACACGTGGTAGAATATGTTAGTTAATGTAACTTTAAACTGTAGCCTAAGGCCCTGTGTAAGAGCAGAAAAGGTTTGTCATGAGGACAGTCTAAGTGACTTACTCACTGTTAACACAGGAAGTCTGCAGACTTGGTTTCTCACTTTGCCAATTTTATGATTAATACCTCTGCATCTTAACCGCAAGGCCATCATTTTTCTATAAAGCACACTCTCTAACTTTAGAAATATTCCTTCTAGTAAGTGATCAAATCTTACAACTTGGACACCTAAATTTTTACTCCTAGGCACATATTCAGAACCACTGAACACTTCTGAATCCCAGTTAATGCCGTGAAACAGAAAGCTGCAGAGACTTCTAAAATTTGAGTACCAAGAAGTTTAGAAGATGACCTTTGGGATTAGCACTCTGAAAGTTTTAGGCTTTGACTATACAACTTTATCTGGCCTCTCTACCTGCCTTGTTAAGAAGAGTATTAAAGCAACAAAGACATTTACTCAGAAGTCAGAAAATGCTAGGATTAGGATTTCCATTGAAATCTTAATTTGGCTCCCTTGTATTATTACGATACAGTATGTATTATAATAAACTCTTTAATTATATGATCACATACCACTGCAAAACAGCATGTGATCACATAATTAAAGACTGCAGCATAATACATATGCAGAAAGGAGACAAATTAAGGTTTCACAGGCAACCTTAACTCTTGCATTTCCTATTTTCTGAATTGCAGCCCTAATAAAGTGGATTTTTTTAAAACCCAAATCTTTAAGGTATACTTTCCTAGGTAAAACAAACAAACAGCACATATTGGAAAACAAACTCTGTCAGGTGGTATCACACCAACATATACACACAGGTCAGAATCAGCAGTGGAAGTGTTCTAACACAGGTTTGAAGTGATACAGACTCAAAACGAACAGGATGTAATACATCACTATTAGTTTGCTCCCATATTTAACATCTACTGAGCATGCAGGAGTCAGAGGAACCCTAAGATTCACTTTCAGGCTACGAAGAAAAGCATGGCTTGTGAACCGGATAATTGTTTGGTCCTCCTGACGAACACCAAATTATTTTCTGCCCAAATTCTTTCTCGTCCTTTGCTAAGGTCCATTCTACTCACCTAGTTTCCATTCTTTATGCCACCCTGTGTAGGCATTATGCAGCAGTAACCCTTTTCACTCAGCTTTTATCACATTACATCTCTTTAGGTCCCCTCCCCTATGCCTTCATTTCACCCCTTCCACTACCTACTTCCTGATTCTACCTCCATATTCCCATTTTTTTTCAACAAATCCTGTTCTCTGTTCCAATTTTGCTCCCCATTCACTCTCTCTCTTCCTTCTTCCTCTGCCAGCCTCAAAATCAAGCAAATCCCTCCTACGCTTCCCTTTTCCAAGATCTACTCTCCCTCCCCAGCATTCCTGTCCAGCTTTGTCTCTTCTGTATTCAAATCAAGCAAGCTCCCACTCCACGCTTCCTGGGCCTAGAAGAGACCTTTAGCAGTATAAAAGAAGTTGCCTAAAAACAGATTCAGGAATTACATGGAAACTCATGCTTCCCAAATGAGCAACCACCTGTGTGGACAGACTCTGCAGGGAAGCTAGCTGGGAAGCTCTAACAATTTTCTCAAGTCTTTGTGAAAAGTAGTTATCTTCCAAAGGCAGATAAAATGAGGCAGATTTCCATGTTATTTGTACAGGCTTATCTTTAAGGTCTCCTCCTATGAAGTCTTAAGAAAATTTTAAGGTAGCCTGTATTTATAATTTAAAAGCGGGTAGGGTGGGAGGCCTGGTTTCTGCAGCTGGAATGCTTTGGCACATATTACAAAGAGTTTAACCACGAAAAACTGATACGAAAAATTGCAGCCCAAGATTAAATAGTTGAAGCACCTGAAAAATAGACCTTTTACTTGCAAATTACATGGAACTTTAATAACTGAGGCTGCTTCCAGCCCATTCTTCACTAGAGTATTAATAGGCTGCAAACTATCAGCCATGTTTTAGAGAGTCTGTCATTACAGAAGCCCCAAAACTGCTTCATAGATTTTGATAACATTTTGCCCATCAGTGAAGTGGTCCCTCTCTTGGGAGCAGCAGCAACTTCACAACATGTGGCCATTAAAAAGCTAGAATTTTCGAGTCAGATTTCCACTACAATTTATACCTGCTTCATGTAATTACTCACTCTTTTCCTTTCCCTCAAGACTGCCACAAGATAATAATCAGTGCCACAATGAAAGGGTGTCCAAACATGAGTTGTCCCTCTCTAGCTTAGAGATCCAGGTGATCACTGAACACAAGAAAAGGGTTCTTGCCTGTGTGTCCACATTCTTTCTCCATCTTACTGTTTATTTCTTTTAGCAAGAATGAAGAAAAACAAGCAAAAAAATCCTTGAAACAGAGGTTTGAGGCATCTGGGTATGCATCTGTTTTACACAAAAATAGTCTAGTGCACATCCTAAAATGCACTACTGCATTATACATGAGGGTATTGCAAGCTAAAAGAAGGGAAATTGCATTAACAATTTACAGTTGGCTAAGGATAGATTTTTACAGTGTTACAAACTCAGCTGTTTACTTAGATTTGACTGCACATGACATTTGAACATGTGTAGCCCATTGCTTGAAAGCAGAAGCAACTGAAGCTTTTCTGATATGAGAGCTGCACAGTGATAGCAGACTGGCAGCAGAGAACTATAGCTGGCCTACTGTTAACTCCTAGCTTTTTTTGATATATTGTGCTGTCTACAGTCGGTAAATCCTCGCACATCTGTTCCATGTATCAGGTTTGGATTTTTTTAAAAATTAAAAAGTCCTATCTCTTCTGTTACAGGCTGGCACCTTGCCATACGAGGGTGACAACAGTGTGAAGCATCTTACGAAAGATATGCATAGAGTTAGAAGGAGACCAAATAAGTTATGGATGTTGGCTCATGACTCAACTATAGTCCATTAACCACTAATATAAGAATGCTTTTATCCATTTTCATAAAACATAATGAAAAAATATAGTAAGCTCTATAGTTTCTCCCTCTATATATTTTAAGCATTCCAGGTGCTACTCAATTTTCTGAAGTTTTTAATTTTTATTTTGATTTACACAAATCCCATTTTGACAATTCAAACAGAAGTCAAAATAGTTCTTCCTCATGCACAGTTCTGTTTAGAGAGTTCATGACTATTGCCACCACAGTTTCAGAGCCAACCTCTCCCAGTCTTGCCCCTACAATAGCTGCCTGAATCAGCAGAGAACACATGAACACAATGCACAAAGTTCTGCTACACTGGACATTTTCACTGGTGTGTGAACACAACAGGTGCACAACAGCTCTTGGTGCAGAAGGAGGACTGAAGAGTCAACACTCCCGACGTGCTGTGATCTGCCGGAGCAAGCCTGGGCCCGGCTGCAAGGAACTAGTTAGTTCTGATGCCAGCTCCATCCCTGACCCGCTGCGCGAGCGACCATACTACGTGAGCTGTCTGCTCCCAGTCTTATCTTCTGCATAGACATGAACGACATATTTTTAATCTCATATGGATGCCTCACTCGCATAATTATTTACTTAGTGTTCAAATAGTGTGGGTAATCATGCTTGAGTAACTGAAAGCATTACAGGCACTTAAATAACGAAAACATGTCAGTAGTGAAACCCCATCCTGTTCAAGCAAAATGTCAGCTTCTATCTACATGCATGCTACACTGAAGGAACAATGGCCTGCATTTAAGAGTACAGAACAGTAACAATTTACTAATAATTTCACAGACCACGACTCTGTCTATTCAATGGCAGCAGGCCAAGTCACGCTCTAAGAATTTTGGTTAAGAAGAAAAAGCATTTTTTTTTCTACTTTAAGTATGCCAACTTCTATATAGGAAACCACAGCCATACCTACTGCTATGCTGCAAAAACAAAGGTATAAATCTGTTTTTAAGGTCATTTCATTCACATTACTTTGTGTGGAACCTTACTGACTTGCATTCATTACTCTCATTCTGCTCTGGAATAATATCAGTCAGGCCCATAGTTCCTGACCCAATAATATGATACTGTATTTAGTCAGAGCATGAAAATGGGAGGAAATGCAGCATCAGACATATGCAGGAGATTATCAGGGTATGGGTTGATTTGCTCTTCAGGGTAACCACCACAAAATTTTAAAATTTAATTCAGTTTTCATTAGCAAGTAGCATGAATTTCTGGACTATTGTTTAATTTCTAAATAAAACTAGTATGACAGAAACCAGAATCTTTATTTGGGATCTTTATTTGGGAAGCACAATAAAGAATAATTTTCATGTAACAGAATGAGAGAGAAAGAACGGCTTCCATTAAGTTACCTCCACTGGCACGTGCCATTTTCAGAGCTTCAAGAGAAACAGCAGGGGTTATCTCTAGCTGGCAAACAACCACTTTGGCTTTACAGATGACATCAGAAGCCCTCTTCAGGTCTTCAAAATTTAAAAGCAGGTTGGCTCCTGGGACTATGACAATAACATTCTGTCCTAAAGAGAAGATATTGTGCTTTTAACATGAACTTTTGCAGTAAAGTATGTAAAACAATTCCTTACTTTTCTACAATACATTTCAGATGAGTATTTCCATTTGCTTTCCAAAAAACTCCTACTAAAATGTATGCATTGCTGACATTTTCAAATATCCAAAGATTTCAGAAGACAATCAAAAAGATCAACAGACTAATGAATGCTACACTGCACAATAAATAAAGTTACATATTTCTTTGGGAAAAGTAATGTATGGGCTTTCCCCAGTTTTATTTCAGTGTTTTCTACGAACTCTAAAGAAGCACTTAGTAGTCACAGTGGAGATGGAGGACATACACTAGGGCTGATATTTGCATTTTCCTAAAATATTCCAGTAGCACTTGGAAGAGAAAAGCATCAGTGGAATTACTGAGTTCATATGCTAAAAATGCCATAGAAATTTGAATTTTCCCATCAGCTGGAAACAGATAGTATTTCACACAGCTGTGAAAATTATGCAAGTTCCTAAGATTTCAGAAAAGCAGGCTTGCTCTACTTACCTGCGACACTTCAAGTTAGGGCCCCTAACCATCAGCTTGCCACCAAACCCCAGAAAAGTAACGCCTGTGTCTAAGGAAAGTTTTATCAGAAGTGAGTAAAGACAGTGGGTGACAGATTCTTCTGCATTTAAAGCTGGGCAGTAGACTGGTCTAAGCAAAGCTATACATGCAGGAGCATGGCAGTAGCTCAAAGCATGTTTAAGAACTTTTTCATTCTTTGTAGTTTGTTTTACAGTTAGGTGAGGAGGTTCATTTACATAGGTTCCAAAGATTCTTTTGTTTTTCTTCAGACATGCAAGTTGCCTTATTTTATTGCAGCTTCTTTGTTTCATTCTTTCCTTTTTTTAATCTTTGTTACAAAACCTAGAGACCTTCAGGCATGGGTGCCTTCAAATTAAAATTTATTATTAATCACTCAGGTATTAAATTCAATAAGTCAGTTGTTCCTTGATTTACAGGCTCAGCCCGCCCCCGCTGAAGATTCCTTTAAGGACTGCCAATCATTAAAGGCTACCAGTTCTCTAATGAACAGAATTACTCTGTAAATAAATATTTATGTTTTTAAATACATTATTTTTGTTGAATGTGACTTCAAAGTCCTTTGAATAAGAAACATGCAAAGCTTGTCTCCCTGAATATGTTCTGAAAAGAAAGCAGGACAATGGAAAGAATAATATAGTGATCTCAGAGGGAGGGGCCCAAGCTTTCCAAAGCAATTCTGCTGTCAATGGTTTGGTACAGAACAGCTGCATATGAAAAGCAAAACCTCAGCATTTAAAGACAACGCCCTGCTTTTCAGCAGACAATGATGGGCATCTCGGATAAAAAAAACTAAACCAAAACAAAAAACCTTCTGCAACAAGTAAATGCTATCAAAGATACTAAAATCCTGTTGAGGAAATATTCAAAGGCAAATTGCAGCTATTTTGCCAAGCATATATTTTGAAAGCTTATAGGGTGCAGCAGTGCAAACAATAACAGGCAGGGAATCACTGGAACAAAACCATGTTTCATTTCTGCCTGGACTCTGTGCTACCTAGAATCTCAGACTCTACCCACATGTCTTGCTGCGTTATCTTGCTGAACTATTTAGCTGTACTGACATGTATATTATTATTAGACTTTAGAGCTAATGGCCCAAGGCGATAAGGAAGGCTGTTTGTTTAAACCCATATGTGCAAATTCAAGGTAGACCATGCTGCACTGGATCACAGTCAGAAGCTTTCCGTTGCAACAACGAATGGTCAGAGACTTGAACGCAGGCTGGAGGGTTAAAGCCACGTTCTGTTCTTAGTTATACAGACCACATCAGCTGTGAATGACAGCAGTCACCACAAACTTACCCCAGCGTGCATGAAAACAGAATCCGGACCTACGCACTCACAATTAATAACAGCATTTTGAATTACCAGCAACCATTTTGTTGAAAGCAATTATTTCTTGCCAGGGAAATCAGATGGGAAATCAGCACCAGGGACAACAGAGTTAAAGACAGATGGCAAAGAGGGGTGGGATTCATCTTGTCCAACATTAACTAATTTTTAAAGTTTTCAAAAAAATGCTACATTCCAGAAAATGCTAAGAAAAGTAATTTCTAAAAATCAGTTTTCTAGGTTCCTTCAGTAAGGAGAAGAGACAAGTATTTTCAGAGGTTTTTTTAATCTTAGATATCTAGATACTCTGCTTGAAGAGAGAAACTATTGTCTGAACAAGTCTATGCATCTCTTAACTCTTAAATCATACACCTAGCCCTGAAACAGCTCAAGTGCAGTAAAATGTTACCTACACTAAGAATGAGAAAACGATATTTACTGCATTACGGTTAATTCTAACCATTTTACTTAGACTGAAAATTCTCCATTTTGATGGAAGCATCTATACATTTTATATAGGCTTTGCAGACATCAGTGAGAATATTGAGCTGCTATAAGCCATAAGAGCGAAATGAAACTAATAAACTTGTGCAAATTTACACCAGATGGGGACTGGGTCCAATCAATAATTAAAATATCGTGAATGCTGCACATGTAAATACTGTCCTCAGTTGGGCTTCTAAACCTGCTGCTGTCATATCTTAGAAAAAGGGCAATTCAAGATAATTTTTTTTTTAGAAGTGTCATTTTATATACACCACCAGATGAAAAGTGCCAGTAGAAAAATCAAAGGCAAACCAGTAAACACCAGAGTGCAATAACCATCACTTTTTAAAATGGGATGATGAGCCTAGGAGCCATCAGTAGTGCTTAGAACTCACCAAAATATCAAACAATGCAATTATAACAATAGCTGTAAAGCCTCTGCATAATAATTCATAGGGAAAAAAGATACTTGTGACCAGAAGAGAACGTTACAAGAAAAACATTTGCTGCCAAATCACATAGTTCATGAATACAAGGGCAAGTTTTGGGTGTGTCATGGTATCATAATTTCTGTGCAATTACTATGTAGAAGCATTGAATAGTCTTTTACACAGAACATTCAAGTTCATGATGAATGTTAATACATAGAAATGCCATAAAAACTCAGGTGACATCTCTTCAAAACCCTGAAGGTTCAAAACAAAGATTTTCTCTTTGGAAAGTATAATTCAAACAAGCTGGCTTATGTATTCTAGTTTGCCTTGTTTATTTAGTGTTATCTAAATATGTATTTTGAATGTTTTTATACTCATAGCACTTCGCTGTTGAAGGTACACTCACTCACAAAATAATGCCTATTCAATATTCACAAATGATTAATAACTTTATCATAAAGTCAGCACAATTCCTATCTCAAGTGAGAGTTATCTCACAGTGTTCTGTGTAGGTGAGCTTTAAGTTCTAACTTACAGTAATCCAGAGCACTTTAATCATGACCTGCCATCACCTGTTGTCCCTCCACTGAATATTTGCTGTGAACACAGCAGTTGTCAGATTAGTTCACACTACTGCTCCAGTCAGACCAGCTTAACAGCACCATCAAACTCAGTACAAGGGGACAAAGCTGCAATGAACTCCACAGGTAATGACGTAAAAAGGTACCCATAAAGAGGTGAGGGTTTTTTTCCATATATATGTATGAAAAAGTAGACCACACATCATTACTTTATGGAGTTCTTACCATTCAACAGCACATAGTTAGTAGAAGGTGTGTTAGGTGACAGAGCCAGTGGAAAGAAGATGATGGGATGAAAAGAGAAACAAAAGCTGGATTCAAAAGGGCATGATGCACCTCAAAGAAAACATGCTAAGAAAAGCAGCTGGATGTACCAGCTTTTGTCCTTAAGAGACAAAGAAAAGATGTGAAGTGTACAGGGTCCTGGTAAACTGAAGCTTGTGTTTAGTCAAAACCTATCTGAAGAGGCAGTTGCACAAAAGAGAATAATAACTGAAAGGAACATAAGTTCCCAGAAAGATTTTCTACACAGACTTCTGAGACCAGCCCAGAGAGAACCTTTGCAGTGTCTCAACTACACATTTTTCCATGCAGCCCTGTAAGCTTGTTAAACACATCTCCACCATTTTGCAGTAAAGCAGGAATTTAACTTCTCTATCTTTCACTGAAACTATACTGTACTGTCCCAGAATATAATGCCACTCTGAGATTATCAAATGTGCCTGATAATTTTCACATTTTCAGTAGTTTGCCAATTACAATAATGGGTCAGCTGTAGCTGTGCAATTCAGTAACCAGTAAAAATCTTCCCAGCAATTTCAGCAGCACCAGATAGACAGACACAGGTAACATCAGGGAAAGTTTACTTCAGAGTCTCCTCTGACTCTGCCCTCTGTAGCTGAAGTATCTCTCCTACTTCCGCCTGTGCCTTTAGTCAGTTGATTGGAGTCGGTATTTTTCCTAAGTATCAGTATTTGTAAAGAATTGGCAAGATGAAGTGCAGGTTAGGTGTGTGTGAAACTGCCGCAATTAAAACTTGGCAATTTAAGGAGACGATACCTATGTTTACGTGCCCCTCATTGTCTTAACACAAAACACGATTACCATTCCCGACTTTAAATGCTTCCCTTTTAGGTATAATTTCAGCTAGCAGACACTATTTTACATCAGTGCATTGAATGCTGTTGTGTTTCAGCTATGCCAGCACAACCACTGTGGTAAAACATGCATGTGTAGACAAGTCCTTTGAAAAGTGCTGTAAAACCTGTTTAGGTCAAATCAGCCAGGTTTCTACATGGAAAAAAAAAAAAGTGTCTCTTGCAATAGCAAAGCACATAAGTACTGCTATTTTATTGCAATTTACTCAATTCAGGCGCCAGATGGTTTTAGAGAGAAGCAACAACCACCACCATTACCAATTCTGTGCATCTGTTTGCTTTATAGCATACCTCTGACCAGGTTTGCTCCTCTACTACATTTTAAGAGAAATCTGAGGCCAGTAGTAACTTAACTTAGGATTTTTCATTTTCCAAAATAAACAAACTACATGACATCATGCATTATTCATCTCACTTTATGAATCAGAAGATTATCAGAGACCATTCACACTGATGCCAACATGTAAGATAGACCACTGTGAATCTCATGGCACTGAACAATCCTTTTTCCTTTCCTGGTGCTTTTAGAGGTTTTAAATTCACAAGATGGTTTTGTTCCTTACCCTTCAGAGAAATTCAGCGTTATAATTTTAACAGGTCATCCTCTGTTTGTTCAAGTTTAAAACATCTTAATTGGCCATGAATACGAACTGGAAACTAACAAGACGCTTCTCACTCAACTATTCCAGACAATGAACCCAGTGCAAAACACGGTTACACGTACAGAACTGTGAGGCCTGGGAGCGCTACTGGATTCTCTCTCTCCTATTAACAATGCCCAGAGTAGTGACTGTATGTGGCATAAGAAAGAAGTTCTTAAAAGCTGCTGTGATAACTTACCTGTTGATCCAAACCCAGAGAAGGAGGTGGAAGCAAGAGGCAGTTGACTCAATGTACTAGAGCTACCTTATTTCTGAATTAGAGCTGTCATGCGAGGCTTTGATTAATCTTACTCAGGAAAAATTAAACTCACATCTCCCAGCAGATTCGTCTAATTTTCCTGGATGTTCCTGTGTAGACTTGCCTTTAGTCACAGTTCCTTCCCAGTTTTGCTCCTGGAGTGAATAGTCATGTTTCCTTTCCCATTTTCAGCTGTAGCCCAATGTACTACCATCAGGTTACATAGGAGCTTCGCGTGATGTGTCAGCTACGCTGTGGTAACTGTTCAAACGAAGGCTCTCAGCTGCACCAAAAGTGAACTAATCTAATCACACTTAATTTGTTATGTTTGCAAAAACTTTATCAGTCCTGAGCTCTAGATTTTGGGCCAGACGCACACATTTCTCCTAAGACCTCTCAATTGCACTGCTTGCTTGAGGAAAAGATAAACAGAAAGTTTGCAGAGGATAATTTAGCAGTGTTGAAGAATATGAAAACAAGCCCAATCTTTTCTTTTTCCCCTGCAATATGAGAGCAAAGGCACAGGCTAAGGAAAATTAACACAGAAAAAAACCCAAATATGCCATTTCACTGCATATTCATCACTGCAGATGCAACCTGGGATCAAGAATTGTGGTAACAGTACAAGATCAACATAAATATTTCTACTTATGCTAAGGACAATTCCTTTTCCTGATTCAGGGCATAATGACTCAGTGTGCTGTGGAGGCAAACCCTTTCCTCGTAGTAAAAGCACTAGGCAAGTCGTGGTGGAAAAGCGGAGCTCTAACCTTCTGCTACACTGTGTATTCTGCCCAATGCAAAACTAGATAGATCAGCTGGCTGATGGAATTATGGCTATCACACTGCTCATCTGAATGTCTGATTCTGCTGCTTTCAGCCACCTCATCCTACAACACTGCCTGTAATAAAGGGAGGTGCAACAAAATGTGAATGAGATCATGAAAAAAAAAAGATATAGGAAAAACAATTCCACAATTAAGAGTGACATGGCAAAGATTTCCTTTATGGCTGTCAAGGCAGAACAAAGAGGACAATTCGGAGTAGAGATATGTACCTTCACTGTTGACAATTATTGAAGCAGTTCCAGTAGCAGCATCTGTAGTCTGACCTACAAATGCTAAGAAAGGGAAAAGTTACAGCATGCATTAGTTCAATACATTACTTTCAACCAATAGCATGTGATGCAATTTAATTGAATTAAATCTAAAATGAACCCATAACCTCTAGCAATTTAAAAATGCTAATTACTCTTTCATGTGCAACAATGCCAGAGAAGCTAACAACAACAAAAAGTGTTAATTTACACCCACAAAACAGAAATGCTAGTCCAACATTCTTTAATTTGGCTACATCTCTGCTTTAGAGAAAGCATGTTATTTATACAGCCTTCTCAGGCACTTTACTCCTACATAGAAGTATTTCTTTTATCCAGTGAAACAATAGAGTCAAGGCTGGAGAAAACAAAAATATTAAAACAACACAGCATTTAATTCTGTGTAGATTTGCATTTCGGCAGTAATATTAACGTGCTACAAAAGCAGTTGTGAGGTTATATGTTTCCTCTTAGGATTATTATTCAGATAAATTAACTAGAAATGAGGCTAGCAGCACCATCCATTATAAAAATTGTTCTATATTTACTACTATAAGGACCTGGGTTTAGCCATTAGCAAATTTCTCAAATATTAATCAGTAGTCTGAAACCTTCTATGACAAGTGGGTTTTTGTTAGGTGAAACTACAGTAGAAAACTGTCCAAAAAGTTGGCGGGTTTTTTTCCCCCACATGAACTGTATTTGAGAAAAATCTATTATTTGAGACCAGTTCTGGTAACCTTTTGTTTAAGAAGTTCTAGTGTTCTAACATTTTAGAACACACCGATGTTGGACAAAAGTTGGCTTCTTTCTCGAGATGTGTCTTTTGTGGCCAATTTAAAAATCTGCTCAAATTGGAATAAGGCTGAAAAAACACGTATCAGTCACGCTCATTGAGTTTTGCAGCTACTTGTCTTGGAGATACTCTCACCACAAAGCTCATAGTTACAAGGGTGAGAGCAGAGCTTTCCTTGCAGTTACAGATTCTTTTCACCATGAGCTAGATCTGCACACTGGAATTGAAAGCAGAGAACTTGTGTCCTCTCAGTGCTCTTCCTTCAGAAAATAAGCAGCATGAGCAGCAAAGTGCCCTGTTCAAATGTGGAAGAGAGAATAACATCAGTAAAGGTCTAAATGGTCTCAGCAGCACTGGCTGCCGATACGTTGCGGAAGACAGGAAGACTGGGAAAAGGGAAAATTACAAAACAGATGGGAATTGGAAAGAAAAGGAGTAAGGTGATGCGTTAGAAAACAGAAGTGTGACATAAAGAAGACAGACAACAAGGATCCAGGATATGAAAGTTGGCAGAACTGGCATCCTTATGTATAACAGGATTAAAGTGAGATGGAAAGCCAGGGACTGAAATAAGATGGTCCTAAGCAAAAAGGCCTGTGCACACTGAATCACCCTTGCCTCCGAATGTTGGAATGCAAACTGGGATCCCAGACCAGCATCACCAGGAGCACATCCTATTTTCCAGGGCTGATCAACATTGTAGGTGACAACTCACATCATTCTGAGATATTTTTAACTCAATCAGTAGAAACTGGTATCTTGGACCTAAACATTTACGAACCTCCAGTGGATCTATCTAGGTATCAATGAAGCGCAATATGATGGAATTTCTGCATTTTTCTTCCTACATTTTTCTTTTGCTGCTATAAAGACTACTTTAAAATTATGTTAAGATTGAAAGATCAATCATTTAAATCTGAAAATATGAAACATAAGGTTCTTTATGGAATATACATTTTCATTAAGAGCTATGCATTATAATAGCTTTATTTACATGATCAAAGACTTTATTCATGAGGTAGGAATGCTTTGGAGAAGTACACTAACAGACACTGGTTTTATGGTAACCTTGTCTGGTTTCTTGCATAAGTTGGAAGACATGCAATGAATAAACCTGTATATACATTCGTGAAATATGTAGATGCTATGCTGATAAGCATAATTAAAAAGCCCACAAAATACTGATAGTTTTGTCTTTAAAGCAGGAGTCCAATAATGCAGTAAATAAAGCTTGTGGCTGCACATCAAACAGAAAAGATACACTGAATATTGAATTGCCACTTAGTGATTGCAGATGTCCATCCTTGTCCACCCTGAAGGAGATAAGCCATGTAGACAAAAATGTGATCATGTAGTTAAGCAGCATACAATAAATCATTTAAAAGAGAGTGACAATTAGAGTTAAAGCATGCAAAGATACTAGAATATTGTGAATGCTTCATTTTCCCTTTTCCCAAAAGCCTTTTAACATTGATTTTTGTGTGTATGTGTGTTAACAAACATCGGCTACAGTCTCTAAAATGACTGTACGTGTCATTTCACAGAATAAAGGTGGAATGCAGAGTCAACAAACGCATTTCCACTCTGTCCCTCCTCTCCCAACAGGTAATTGAGAATTAATAATCCGACTGGATTTTTCAGTTTCTCACTAGGCATTACCATCATTAATACCAGCTTAAATAATTGTTAAATGGTCCATTATCTTCAGGTGACTTACACTGATGTAATCATTTGACATGCAGAGGCAGTAACATTTATTTTGTTACAACATACTCTATTTATAGTGGTACAGCTGATTTCAGAAGTCCCCATTTTCTCAACCGTATT